CATCGAGGCTCTAGATCGCGGCTCTTATCCTTACATAAAAATTGAAAACTATTAGTCAAAATAAAAACAAATGTACAAACTTCCATCCACGCAGCTTTTCTTGAATCTTCACTTGAATTTTGACTTTAAGATATCACCTTGATTTTTGAGTGAATATCTTATCTTAGAATTGGAATGGAGGCTGAACTTTCCACTTAGACGGAACTTTTGACATTCTTCAAAATGACAACTTGAAAAATGACCTTGAATAAATGCGTGTTTTCTTGATCAAAAGTTGACTAGTAAAAGATGTGTGGAAGTCAGGCTGCAACAGGCATTGAAGAAGCTAATTCTAACCATCATGGAATTGATTATTCTAAAAAATTTAAAACTTTGTACTTGAATTTCAAATCCAGGTCTCGCTTGAGAAAACCTGAGAACCACCACAAACAAAAAAAATAAATAAAATTTTTGCCCCAGTTTTCACTGGGAAAATTTTTTGTGAGTTACTAGCAAATATAAATATAAAACATAAACTTCGGCTAGGAAGTGTTTATTTCAAGAGAAAATGAAACTAAAAATCTAGACTAGGAATTGTTAATCGTATCAGAAAGTAATCTAATCCCATTATTCATGAGGGTCCTGCTAGTCCTATTATTCAGGAAGGTCCTGTTAGTCCCATTATCCCGGAGGGTCTTACTATCCCGTTATCCAGGAGGATTATGCCAGTCCCATTATCCCGGAGGTTCCTACTAGTCCCATTATCCAGGAGGGTCCTGCTAGTCCCATTATCCAGGAGGGTCCTGCTAAACCCATCATTCAGGAGGACCCTGCTAGTCCCATTATCCAGGAGGGTCCTGCTAATCCCAATATCTAGGAGGGTCCTGCTAATCCCATTATCCAGGGGGGTCCTGCTAGTTCCATTATCCAGGAGGGTCCTGCTAATCCCATTATCCAGGAGGATCCTGCTAGTCCCATTATCCAGGAGGGTCCTGCTAGTCCCATTATTTAGGAGGGTCCTGCTAGTCCCAATATCGAGGAGGGTCCTTCTAGTCCCGTTATCCAAAGGGGTCTTGCTAATCCCATTATCCAGGGGAGTCCTGCTAGTCCCATTATCCAGGAGGGTCCTTCTAATCCCATTATCCAGGAGGGTCCTGCTAATCCCATTATCCAGGAGGGTTCTGCTAGTTCCATTATCCAGGAGGGTCCTGCTAGTCCCATTATCCAGGAGGTTCCTGCTAGTCCCAATATCCAGGAGAGTCCTGCTAATCCCATTATCCAGGAGGGTCCTGCTAATCCCATTATCCAGGGGGTCCTGGAAGTCCCATTATCTAGGAGGGTCCTGCTAATCCCATTATCTAGTAGGGTCCTTCTAATCACATTATCTAGGAGGGTCCTGCTAATCCCATTATCCAAGAGGGTCCTGCTAGTCCCATTATCCAGGAGGGTCTTGCTAATCCCATTATCCAGGAGAGTCCTGCTAGTCCCATTATCCAGGAGGGTCGTGCTAATCCCATTATCCAGGAGGGTCGTGCTAGTCCCATTATCCAGGAGGCTCCTGCTAATCCCATTATCCAGGAGGGTCCTGCTACTCCCATTATCCTGGAGGGTCCTGTTAATCCCATTATTTAGGAGGGTTCTGTTAGTCCCATTATCCAGGAGGGTCCTGCTATTCCTATTATCCAGGAGGGTCCTGCTATTCCTATTATGCAGGAGGGTCCTGCTATTCCCCTTATCCAGGACGGTCCTGCTAATCCCATTGTCCAGGAGAGTCCTGCTAGTCCCATTATCCAAGAGGGTCTTGCTAATCATATTATCCCGGAGGGTCCTGCTAATCCCATTATCCACGAGGGTCCTGTTAATCCCATTATCCAGGAGGGTCTTGCTAATAAAATTTTCAACAAACTAATAATACCAACGAAACATTGTGAATGCTATCTTCATTATTTGGAAGTTCCTTCAAAGAGAATAATAATAATAATAATAATAATAATAATAATAATAATAAATAAAATAAATATTCCAACATTCAAGTAATTTCTATTTTGATAAATATTAGCCAACTTTCATATAATATTCCACAAGTCCTTATTGTAGGGTTTCTATTTCGCTTGCTGCATACTAAGTTAAACATCTAGGTTCCTTGAATCCTCAATCTTTAAACAACTTGTGTCCCTGCTTCAACAAAGAAAATTTGTGAGTTTGAATAGGTGGTGGTTGGTTTGTGGTTCCATCTTTCGACAAGGGCGGCTCAAACACTTATGACGCTTTGGTTGTTTCCAACGTTCAATACTTCTTACTGATTGATTGTACTTTCATCCACATTTGCTTATTTTGTGACCTAAATCCAATGTCTTTATCTCATAACACTCATTGTTTAGCCTTCATAGAATCAGAGAATTTTCGAATTCAACACTTGAAGACAGATTATAACTCAGTAGCTTGATGCTTCGCCTAGTACCATTTAGAGACTTGGTAGTGAGTCTTGAAATCCTTCCTAGTTTTTTGACAAAGACTCGACCTAAATCCATACCAAAAAAGTGGCGAAAAAGTATAAGAAAATTACAAACTATACGAGAAAAAAAGAAAAGATTCGATGAAGACTCTTTTTTAGTAAGAAGAAGAAAGAAAAACTTATCTGAGTGTGGGAGCCGAGTCTACTGATCATGCCATGCAATTTGAATTGATTTTCAGACTTGTCTATCCAATCTATTCATCAACCACTATTGATCATTCAATCTTGATATGGAATCCCGACACTTAATGAAGCCATAAATAATTTGGAACCTTTATACACTTTGTGATATTCACGAAGGTCTTTGCCACTAAAACTCTATCATGTTAATTACTCCAGCTCACGTCCCCCTTATGGTGCATGTCAGAATTTTAACCTATGAGACTCTCTTATATTCAACTCCTTTTCTCCTTACGGTGCCCACTTAGGGTTTTCACCAATAAGACTTTCTCATTTTTATTTCTTTTTACTCACATTTGTCTTATGATGCCCATTCAGGATTTTTACCTACCCTTAACTTACTTACTCTCGACATATCAGGAGCTGATGAAATTTTTTTTTTGATCGACTTTAGATGATGGGGTTGATTTTGAGCTTTGAGATGAGAGACCGAATGAATACACAAATGAATTTTGCCCCAGTATACTACAATATGAATTTTTGGATTTGTATTTCGTTGAAACGAACCCAACATTAGGGCTGCCTCCATATCTTGCTGAAACAAGAATCAGGTCAAACGTAGTTCAGGCAATTTGGTTTTTTTGAAACGTCAAGGAAAGAGCATAATCGAGAGATCCCGTTGTATCAACCCTTGAAATGTCAAGCCCAAACATAAGGGTTTCTAATGTTGAAACTCAATCATATGTAATATCTTTTCACAACATCAGCATTGACGACCGTTTCAGTCACTTTGCCTTCTATATCTGCTAAGTAAAAAGCACCATTGGGTAATAGCCTTTTAACAACGAATGGTCCTTTCCAATTTGGAGAAAATTTGCCTTTGATTTCAGCATGATGTGGCAAAATGCGTCTCAACACTAATTGACCCTCTTCAAAATGTCTGGGACGCACCTTTTGGTTGTAGGCCCATGCCACTCTTTTCTGATATAATTGTCCATGACATACTAATGTCATACGCTTCTCATCAATCAAACTTAATTGCTCTAACCGGGTTTTGATCCATTCATCATCATCAATTTCAGCTTCCACAACGATTCGTAAAGATAAGATCTCAATCTCTGCAGGTATAACTACTTCAGTCCCGTATACCAGTGAATATGAGGTAGCGCCCACTGACGTACGGATTGTAGTGCGATAACCCAACAAAGCAAAAGGCAACTTTTCATGCCATTGTCGAGAACTTTGCACCATCTTATGAAGTATCTTTTTATATTTTTGTTAGCAGCTTCTACAGCCCCGTTTGCCTTTGGGCGATACGGAGTCGAATTTCGATGCTCAATCTTAAATCGGTGGTATACCGCTTGCATTAAGTGGTTGTTGAGATTTGCGGCGTTGTCAGTTATAATCACCTTTGGAATACCAAACCGACAGATGATGTTGAAATGCATAAAATCCACCACGACCTTCATGGTCACTGACTTGGAAGTTACTGCTTCCACCCACTTTGTAAAATAATCAATAGCCACGAAGATGAACCTGTGACCATTCGATGCTTTTGGTTCTATCGGTCCAATAACATCCATTCCCCATGCCACGAAAGGCCATGGAGCAGACATTGCATACAACTCAAAAGGGGAAGAATGTATTAAATCACCATGTATTTGACATTCATGACATTTACGAACAAATCGTATGGAATCCCGCTCCATGGTGAGCCAATAATATTCTGCTCGAAGTATCTTCTTGGCTAGAACATATCCATTCATATGATATCCACAAACTCCTGAGTGTACTTCAATCATGATTGTGGAGGCATTTTGAGCATTTACACACCTTAGAAGACCTATAAATCGGGTGTCTTCTTGTACAGTATGCCTCCACTTAAGAAAAAACCCCTTGCTAGTCATCGAATAGTCCTTTTTTGATTACTAGTTACATTTGACGGACATTCTCCAGACTGAAGATAAGTTTTGATATCATGAAACCAAGGCTTATCATCAAATTCCTCCTCAATCATGTTGCAATAGGCATGTTGATCACGAAATTGTATGTATAAAGGGTCGATATGGGCGTCATCAGGGTGTTGGAGCATCGAAGATAAAGTGGCCAATGCATCTGCAATCTCATTGTGCATTCTGGGAATATGTCTAAACTTTGTCGACACGAATCATTGACAAAGACCTTGTAAACAATGTTGATATGGTATGATCTTTGAATCTCAAGTTTCCCATTCTCCTTGAATTTGATGAACTAGTAAGTCTGAGTCTCCTAACACTAAGAGTTCTTGGATGCCCATGTCAACAGCTAACCTCAGACCCAAAATGCACGCTTCGTACTCAGACATATTATTAGTACAATAGAATCTAAGTTGGGTTGATATAGGGTATTATTCCCCTGATTCAGACATAAGAACAGCTCCTATTCCAACTCTTTTCCTGTTAGAGGCACCATCAAAGAATAACTTCCAACCTTGATCGTTATCGTGAATAACTTCAACGATATAAGATATCTCTTCATCTGGAAAATAGGTCTTAAGTGGTTCATATTCTTCATCAATAGGGTTCTCTTATAAATGATCTGCCAATGCTTGAGCTTTCATTGCGGTCCGCGTTATATAGATAATGTCAAACTCTGTGAGCAATATTTGCCATTTCGCAAGCCTGCCTGTGGGCATGGGCTTTTGAAAAATATATTTCAATGGATCTATACGAGAGATGAGATAAGTAGTGTAAGATGAAAGATAATGTTTCAACTTCTATGCTACACAAGATAGGGCACAACACGTTCGTTCAAGAAGGGTGTACTTCGCTTCGTAAACGGTAAACTTCTTGCTGAGGTAATAAATGGCCCGCTCTTTCTTCCTAGTGTCGTCATGCTGACCCAGTACACAACCAAAAGAATTATCCAGTACTGACATATACAATATCAAAGGTCTTCCCGGCTCGGGAAGAACCAACACAGGGGGATTCGATAGGTAATTCTTAATTTTTTCAAAAGCTTCTGGACATTCTTCGGTCCACTCGACTGTGGCATTCTTTTTCAACAACTTAAAGATAGGCTCACAAGTTGTTGTGAGTTGAGTAATGAATCTGCTGATGTAGTTTAGCCTTCCTAGAAGGCTCATAACCTCAGTTTTGTTCTTTGGAGGTGGCAATTCTTGAATTGCTTTTATTTTTGAAGGATCCAACTCGATACCTCTTCGACTTACTATAAACCCCAAAAGCTTCCCCGATGGCACTCCAAATACACATTTTGCAGGATTAAGCATGATATTATACCTGCGGAGTCTTTCGAAGAATCTCCTTAAGTCTTTCACATGATCTGACTATTTTTTAGATTAATGATAACATCATCCACATAAACTTCGATTTCTCTATGCATCATACCGTGAAACATGGTTGTCATTGCTCTCATATAAATTGTCCCTACATTTTTTTAATCCAAAAGGCATAACACGATAACAATACGTACCCGATGGAGTGATAAAAGATGTTTTTTCTGCATCTTCATCATCCATAATAATCAGATGGTAACCCGCATAACAATCCACAAAAGATGCAACCTCATGTTTAGCAAAATTATCCAATAAAATATGGATGTTAGGCAAAGGAAAATCATCTTTTGGACTTGCCTTATTCAAATCACGATAATCAACACACATTTAAACTTTTCCATCTTTCTTAGGGACAAGTACGATACTGGCTAACCAAGAAGGATATTGAGTGACTTGAATGACTTTGGCCTCAAGTTGTTTTGTGATCTCCTCTTCAATTATTACACTCATGTCGATTTTCTGTTTTCTAAACTTCTTCTTTATCGGAGGAAAATTAGGATTAATTGTCAATTTGTGAACAACCATGTCACTGCTTAATCCAGGCATGTCATCATAAGATGACGCAAAAACATCTTTGTAATCAAACAGGGCCTTGATTATACCGTCCTTTTGATGTCGAACATGTACACTTATCTTAGTCTCCTTAATAATTTCCTGATCCCCCAAATTTATCGTCTCAGTTTCACTCATGTTTGGATTTGACATAATTTTAAAATGATCGAAATCCCTCCTTACTTCTTCAAATACTCTGTCTTCATCATATTCGATTTCTCGACTTATTATTTCAATATTAGGTCAAAGATTAGATTGGATATTAAGATCTGGCGAAAAATTTTGCATGCATGTCATATCCCTAGAATCGGCATAAAAAGAACTGTATAAAAGAAAACGAACAAATATATTACAATGAAATAAAGATGCAATTACATCCTATTGAAAATGGAAATAGAATGTTTGAAATAAAACGACAAGATAAAATCCGAATTACAATCCTTGAATGAATCGGATGACAAAAGAAAAAACAAGACAGACTACCAAGACTCGTCTTTAATGGGGAGAGGGGTGGCCTCCCAATTGTTTAGATTGACATCAAGACCAATGAATTGCACATCTCTGTCGCTAGTGCCTTCTCCGAGTTCCACCATATCAACCTCAACAAATAAATCTTTAAAATAGTTGATCATTTCTTCGCTAACTTTCATCACTGGCTCTGGAAAAGATGATTGATAAAATTCTTTTGCGCGGGCTTTGATGAAGGATTTGTAGATTGGTTGTATAGGCTTTGTAAGTGACCATACATCTCTCTTTTGCTTCTTTACCTTCATTTTATCCTCGACTCTAGGTTGGTAGCTTAAGCCAAAAGTACCGATGCTCTTTCGTAGACTCACAGGATAAGCTCTTCCTTGCAAGCAGATTCCTAAGCCTTTATCCGGCTCAAACCCATGTTTCAACAATTCATTCACCACCATTATAGACGCGATGAGCATATTTGGTTTTGAAATGACACTCCCTTCGGGGACATGCTCAATAACCACTACCTTAGAAGCTTGATAAACTAGTGCCTCATTCTCATTATCCTCCTTGATAAAAGGGAAGGAAGAGTCTTTGTAGATTGACAAATCCCCCTCACCATGAACAATTACCTCTTGTCGGTCGTATTCAAACTTAATCATTTAATGCAATGTTGAGGGGACTGCTCCAGCCCTATGCACGCATGGCCTCCCCAACAATAAATTGTAGGACGTGTTGATATCCAATACTTGAAAATTCACGGCGAAATCCACAGGCCCTATGGTTAGTACGAGCTCTATCTCACCAATAACATCTGTTTTTGACCCATCAAAAGCTCTAACACATATATTATTGGGTCGGACCCTTTCAGCACTAACATTCAATTTCTGTAGAGTTGATAAAGGACAAATATTTGCTCCAGATCCTCCATCAATTAGAACTCGAGTGACATGTGAAAGCTCACACTTTACAGTGATATGTAGGCCTTGGTTATGTCCTGTACCTTCTTTGGGTAGTTCATCATCTGAAAAGGTGATGCGGTTTACCTCAAATATTCTCCCAACAATTTTCTCTAACTGACTCACTGTAACTTTACTAGGAACATGTGCTTCATTCAAAATTTTCATTATAGCCTTACGATGTTCATCAGAATGTATTAGCAAAGACAACAAAGATATTTGGGCTGGAGTTTTTCTTAATTGTTCCACCACGGAGTAGTCTGATAGTTTCATCTTCCTTAGGAATTCCCCTGCCTCTCCTTCAGTGATTGGACTTTTTATTTGTATTTGGTCATTTTTAGTTTTCCTTAATTCCATCGGTACATAACATCTTCCTGAACGGGTTATTCCTCCCACTTCATCTATTTCTTCAGCAACTTCTTTTCCCTTGTATGTCACGACAGTAGGTTCATAATTCCAAGGAACAGCTTTGGGGTTAGTCATTGGGAGCTGGGATACAGGCCTGATATTCACAGGAGGAATATGGGCCCCTTGCACGATCAAGATAGGTTTGTTTGGCCTTTTTGGAACCAACAATATTGCCTTACTCAGACTTGCCCAAACATTTTCAAGGGCTCCTTTCACAGTTAAGATGGGTGTGTTTGATGGACTCAACTTTACTAACACACTTTCCGCCCCTAAAGGCATCATTTTTGTTAAATCAGCAACATTTGCTGACTTCTCAATGCCAGTTCCAACCCTAAGGATTGGCTTATACAGAGATGCAAACTCTTCATGACCCTTTATCATTTCTAGCATGTTTGTTTCAGTATGCCTTAGTAATGGATTTTGATTGATGTTGGGTACACTCAGACTTTTAACTATAATTCGATTAGAATCGATCAAATCCTGAATGACCCTTTTCAAATACCAACATCTCTCTATGTTGTGCCCTGGGGCATTAGAACAATATGCACAATGTTGAGAATAATCCAAATTTCTCGGGGGAGGATTCGACATCTTTCTCTCAATAGGACTCAAAACATTCAACGTCCTTAATTTTTGGAATAAGCTAGCATAAGACTCCCCAATAGGAGTGAAGTCATCTTTAACGCCATTTCCCTTTTTGTATTATGGTCTAGGACGGAAAGGAATTCTAGCAGTATTTTGATGAACTTGTGGGGATGGTGGATGATTTTGTGGAGTTGGTACACGCCATTGTGGGTAAGAAGGGGGTGCAATTGGTTGTGCATTAAAAACATGATATGGAGTGTATGGGATAGAATATTGTGGAGCTTGGGAAGGAAAATAGTGTTGTGGGGAATTACCTAGAACATGAGCCTAGGCGCTGATACAATAGTGGCCACATCCTCCCTTCTGTTCTTCCCTCCAATATTTCCAGAACCATTTTGAAGCACTTGTGTTGTGGCTTTTAAGGCAGCTTGACTTACAATCTTTCCAGACTTGATGCCATTTTCCACCATTTCCCCTACCTTAATAACTTCAGCGAATGTCTTCCCTACGGCAAAAAGCAGATAGTAAAGGTAATCAGGTTCTTGCGCCTGGAGAAAAACGTCAATCATCTTTGACTCCTTCATCGGTGGTTTAACCCTAGTAGCTTGTTCCCTCCATCTGATAGCATATTCACGAAATTTTTCCGTGGTCTTTTTCCTCATGTTGTCTAACGAGGAGCAATCTAGAACAATGTCAATATTATATTGGAATTGCTGTACAAAACATCGAGCCAAATCATCCCATATGTGCCAGTTGGTGATATCCTGATCTATGAACCATTTAGATGCAATCCCTACTAAGCTTTCACCAAAATAGGCCATAAATAACTCTTCTTTTCCCTCTGCACCCCTCAATTGGTTGCAATATCTATTTAGATGAGCTATGGGGTCTCCGTGACAATCATATTTTTAAAACTTCGGAGTTTTAAATCCAGCAGGTAAATAGACGTGAGGAAACATATACAAGTCACTAAACGAGATGCCTTTGTGGCCTCCTAGTCCTTGCATATCTCTTATACTTTGTTCCAAACTCTTCATTTTCTTAGTCATTTCTTCATGTTCCTCATTCTTGATCATCCTCTCAATTTCGACAGGGGAACTATATTGATGAATGTGGGGATGAGAGCTTGGAATTTTAATGGTCTCTTCAAGAGTGTAACTCTGATCACGCCGAACTTTGGGCAGAGGATCGTTGTTGGATTTGGGCACCATCAGGCGTATTTGAAGGGCGCACCATAGAAGTTCCAGCGACATTGAATGTGTTAGCATAGGGGTTGAATCCAGGGGGATATATCGGATCGCTTGTCGACACCTGGATAGGGTGTGACATATTTGTATTAAAATAGTCTCAGATTGAAGATGGTGGAGGTTGTCCACTCATCCAAGCCTCGTACATCTCTGCCATCTGTTATTTTAACGCCCTTATCTCTTCTGTTGTCCTTATTTCTTGTGAAATCCTGTTTTGGATCTCCTCATCATTGTCCGATTCATTTTCGTCTTTGGGGGGCATTTTCTGTTTCCCTTTTGATCTTGTGTTGTAAGGATGCGATGCCAGTTTAACCACAAACCAACTACCTTTAAGCTAGTATGTCTCTCTCTCTTTCTCTCTCTATTTCTCTCTCTCTCTCTCTCTCTGAATAGAGTAACAAACCAATTAGTGTTAAGAAATTATGCACATTGTATCCACATACATACTTCTAATATGGAGGACCTCATGTTTCATTCCCGCTTACCTAGGCATTCTTCTCTTAATTAGTTTTTTAATATTTTATTATTATTATTATTTATTTATTTACTTATTTGTTTATTTATTTATTATCATTATGATTACCATTTTTTAAGAGAAAGAAGAAAAAAAAGAAAAGAATATAATAGTAATAATAATAATTTTGATCGAACCCCTTGGGTTGCCTACGTATCATGTTTGGCCCATGAATCAGATCTTGCGTAGTTCGACAAATATATTAATTAATATTTTTTTGCATGACATATGCACATAAGGTGACCAAAAGCAAATCTTTTTCATTCATTTTCAAATATTTTAAAATAAGGATTTGAATAAAACAAAAAAAAACAGAAGTACCTAGGACTTAGATAGACTCCAAATGAAATAAAATTAACTAAAACGGAAAGAAAGAGAAAAACTAAAAATAATAATAAAATAAAATGAAATAATCACTACTAAGAAAATAGACTTGAAAGGATACTTAATCCTCGAATCTCAATCATCTCCAAGACCCTTATAAATCTTCGCCAACGCTTTTGGTAGATATGGAGCCAAAGCACGGGCCTGTCGGCCCAACCTGTCATCGTTCTGGTGTAAATATCTAGCATAAACATTGTTGAGTTCATCCCTGAGTTGCAGTATTCGGTCTCTGGCTTCATCCATATTGTCATAACAATTCTGTAACCAGTGGTGAGCAGTATTGACTTCATGCGTCAAATTTTCCCTTTGTTCTTGGAGCTCTTCAATTTGAAGGTGAATTGCATCAGGCTCGGCTATCCTTTTACCTCTCTCAATCTCGCAGTTTGCTTGATAAGCACTGAAACGCCTTGCTATTTCTCTTTCCCATTCGATAGAGGCTTTAACTTGAGTTTGGAGTCTAGACTGTCCGCAGATAGTTGGGCCTTTTCTTTCTTATACTCCTCTTCCTATCGCTCCATAGCGCCTGTGGCAATTCACAAGTCTTCTTGTAAGGTTAGAATGGTAGAGCAGTGCTTTCTAACTCTAACTTCAAATATCGCATCACGTTGGGCCAACTCCTCTTTAGTGTTTTTCAGGTCATTACTCAGGATATCCAGAGTTGATTTGTAGCTTCTTTCGACTTTGAGGCGAGCTTGCTTAATCTTAACCTCAATTTCTGCTTCTCGATCTATAGGTCCTTTTATTGACCCTTCTGGCATAACCTTAGGAAGGGGCTGATCATGAACCCAGTCTAAGTATGCTTGGTCCAACTCGCCTGTTGTGCGATCCTTCACCATATCGTGGGGACTTGAGAGTATGCATCCCCCCAAATCTTAAATATCTCTGATTGCCTTAAAGGTATCTTGGGATGAAAATCATACATGAATTCACGCATATCTTCATTGGGTGGTATAAACTGACGTCGCCGAAGTTGTCGCATGACTTTAAGTGGCATGTAAGGTTGGACACCTCGAACACCCATTAGAACAATGAACGATCAAAAAGTAGACATGTATATCACCTCGGCCGATGGAAACCAATGATAATTTCACACAATCTTGTTAGCAGTCAGATTATTGAGGTGTTGCTTCCAAGCTTCAATACCCTTCGGAAAACTATGATCTTTGATTATTTCTTTGTGACCTCCAATATAATCATTCCATTCTACTTTAAAGTCAACTGCATAAGGGTGATGACGAATGTGTTCAATCATCCATAGTTGTAATAACATATTGCATCCCTCAAAGTAGTCTTTTCCATGTTTGCAAATAGTTAAAGCACGATAGATGTCTGCCAGAATCATTGGTACGAGGGTGATATTAGGCATTTTCTCAAAAGCTGTAATGACTGCAACTAAGTTCATGCTAATCTTTCCGCCCTTTTTTGAAAATACCATGATCCCCAAAAAAGCCACCACGAAGGCATCATAACTGTGTGCTTCCCAGGTCAGACGACACCCATTATTACAGAGTTTCTTTCCATACACTTCGAATCCATCACTTTTTCCATATCTTTTGTACAAAAGTTCTAACGGAACCCATCCATTATCGAGACAACCACCTAAATCATTCTCATTTATATGTAGTAATTCTAGAAACCTCCTCCCATTAATATGTTTTGGTATCATAGGCTCTTCTTTGTGAAGATGTTTACCCTTTCCAATGAATGCCCCTATCTCGTCAAGGGTGGGGGTGAGTTCACAACTAGAAAAACGGAATACATTCCTTAACGGGTCCCAAAAATGCACTAGTGCTTCTATCAAATCCCGTCGTGGCTCAACATACAAAAATCTTCGTAGAAATCCCAAGCGCTTGAACACCATTCCTTGTCCATGGTTTGTCATATTTTCATACCATGTCTTCAAGAGTGTTGGGGCCTTATCCAATATCATGAATCGAGGTGATTGGTCCTCTCTTTGTCTGTTATCTCCCTTTACATATGGATTCATATTTCCCTATATTATGATAGTGACAAACTAGGCTTAATAAAATATATATTTTTAAACAAGAATAACGGAATAATCATACACACTAAAAAAGTAATTTTTATTATATTTTTTTAATAATATATTTTTTTAAAAAAAGAATAACGTAAAAATCATACACAAAAAAAATTTATTATTATTTTTTTAATAAAATGATCATACACATACACAAACAAAAAAAAGAAATTTTTTTTATATTTTTTATTTGTTTTTTTTAAAAAAATAGTTATTAGAGGAAGAATAAAAAAATATGTATATAAACAACCCTTGAAATTTTTCCAAAACTAAAAATATTAATATATTTGTTTGTATTTTATTTTTTGTTGATTAAATTTTTAATCTTTTTTTTACATAGAAAAACTTTTATGGTAATAATAGATTTTTCTATTTGTAAAAGAAATATGAATTTTGATAGAAAAACTGTGTTTACTAAAAGGATTACGTCAAAACTTTAATTTGATATTTTCATCTAAAGCCGATCAACATTTGTATAGTCTTTCCAATAATGCAACAAATAATACAAATAATGTACATGATAGTCTCAAGTAGGGATACTTCTCCTAGACAGGCTCGACCCTTGTGTCGAGCTCTCCATTCATTCAACATTATGCATGATGCAGATAAATCGAATCTAATTAGGGATAATCATTGTTGAGACTTGTTTTACTAGGTAAACAATCTAATAGGGAAGGTGTCTAGACTGGCCATAAAACGAGCGGACTACTCGAGTCGAGAAGGGACAGCTTATCAGTAGCAGGGCTTTCTTGCCTCACTGTTAGTCCTTCCCATCCTAAGACATGTGTTACTATAGAATCCTTCCCAGGAGCGTTGCTGCATT